ACATAACACGGTCAGCTCCTCTACTGGCACAAACATAACACAGTCAGCTCCTCTACTGGCACACACATCACAGCAGAGCGCTTGTAAAACTCTGATAATTCCTGTTTTTAGTTTGCTACAGTCACCTTATAATCTAGCTGTTTTTGCTGCTTTTTTGCCATCTTATTTTAATTTGTAAAAAAAAAAATCTGTATGCCTTTTTGTAACTGTCTATTGTTGACAACGATGGACAACAACGACATCATTCTTTGTTGAAATCAGGTGTCTCTTGTAAATGAGTCCTCCAGGCTCAATGGGACTAACCTGTCTAAATAAAGGTTAAACTAATAATTTTCAAATATCGGTCACAATGAATTTTAATAATATTCTTTTTAACATATAGTGGTTTTAGCATTAATGTTTTACAATAAATCTAATACAATCTGTTTTAACCTGACATCCATTTTTTCAACGAAATAAGAAATTAGAAAAATAAATGCAGACAGCAGTTAAGATGAATTATTAAATTGATCTCTGGTGGTTCACAGAAAATATGACGCGGTGTGTCGTCATGACAACCAACAGACATTGTCCAAACGTAACTGAATTAACTCAGAATATTTAGAATCAGAATAAACTTTATTATCATCGCACCGAGACACAACGAGAACATGCACGTACAGTCGTCCGAAAGATGGGCCAAGTGCACGAAGCTGCTGCTATAAAAAGCGCGGCCCTCTTTATTCTTATTCTTCAGAATAATATTTTGCTTAGATGAGAAAAGAAAACATGAGGAGAGACGGTATAAAAAAAGATCTCTCACGCCGTGTCCTAGTCAGGGCACGATTTGAGGCATCAAAAAAACCTACCACAGCAAAGCAACATGAACAGACGTGATACGTACAGGCGGTGAAGACATTGAATTTTAAGGGAAAGTCGTAGCATAGTCCAGACCCCCCCCCCCCAGCCATTGTCCAGATGAGAGGTGACGTTCATCTTCAGCTCTGTTGAGGTTCTGTCACATGTCCACGGCCTTGGGGGAGGGAGGGGTGAGGAGACAGACAAAGCATCTAACATGCATGTTCGACTGACTGGTGACTCTAAATTGTCCCTAGTTGAGAGAGAGTGAATGGTTGTTTGTCTCATTTGTCTCTATGTGTCCTTGTGATGGGACCTGTCCAAGTGTCCCCCGCCTCTCACACAGTGACTGCTGGACATGGACACCAGTGACCCCTGTGACCCAGAAATCAGAAAGCTGTTTTTGAGCTCAGGTCAGACTCTGACTCCGTGAGGATGAAGTGTTTTATGTTCATGTTTAACATGTGTTTCCTTGACTGATGAAGCCTTCTGGATGGAAGGTGAAACGTTTCAGCAAAAAAAAAGAAACTGTCCAGATGACCTGACTGAAAATTGTTGGACATGTTCTCCAGGGTTCCTCTCCTGAAGTCTCTGGTTCTGGTCCCGTCTTCCTTTTCATCAGAGGAGCTGCCGGCTCTTTGCTGACCAGTTCTGGGACTGGACCGTTAAAACGGTGAACGGGCTCCAATCAGAACTCTTCTGACAAACAGCTCAAAAGTTAGAACAGTTGAGTTGTTCCTCTCAGAGAAGTCTTTATAAGTTTAGAGTAAAACGATTGAAGGTAAAGAAATGAGTTTGACCTTTGTTTGCTTGTAACCCACGGTTGCTAAGCAACACAGAAACGGTAGAAAGTACAAGAACAACCAGTAATGGTGTCGTGTTGATCCGCTCCTGCAGACGACGTCGCTGACCGAGCTTCCCTCTTTGACCTCCGTTTGGGTTTCAGAGCATCTGTTAGAAGAGAAGAAGAAACGTTTTGTAGTTTATAATCTGAATAAAAACTAAGCTGCAGTTCCTCAGCTGACCAGCAGGTGGAGCTGCAGCTCAGTGGAGGACCTCAGCTTTGATTATAGTCATTTATTTTTAACAGCAGAGAGCTTAAAAGACACAACTGTCTTCAAAATGTATTTACTTTTTATAGGCCTAAAATTAATTAAAGTTCAGTGTTGATTTAAAACAGACAGAAGTGTCATGTGACCTGTTAGATTTGCATCTTATTTAATGATAACATGGTGGTTTTCATTGCTGCGACTTAAGAGACCAAAAATTCAATTCACTTTATTTCTATAGCTCCAAGTCACAACAGAAATTGTCTCCGAGCACTTTACAGGAACGTGCACATACATAGAAAAGACAGTTAGTAAATATCCTGATGCATGCTCAATTAGTTGACCGTCCAATTAGCTCAACGGTTAGTACAGTTCTCTAATGAAGCTGCAGACTCGTTGAATCTTCACTTCGTCGCAGTTTCCCATAAAGTAGATACAATTTCCTGCATTTTGGTGTATTTTAACGAGTTGTTAAACATCCATGTTTACCTATATTTGTAAACACTCCACTTCTGTCAAGCACACCCCCCCCCCCCCCCCACACACACACACACACACACTTGACGGTTCTGAGCCCAACTCCACATGTGAAACCTCCAGGCGTCTCCTCCGTCTGTTCATGTCGACTACCTGTGGGCGACTACCTGTGGGCGACTACCTGTGGGCTCCTACCTGTGGGCTCCTACCTGTGGGCTCTTACCTGTGGGCTCCTACCTGTGGGCTCCTACCTGTGGGCCCCTACCTGTGGGCTCCTAC